GATCAAATAAATTAGGACAACCCTCAGACAAAGTAACAGCGGGAAAACAGTAAAGCCTGGCAAATTACAAACTGAAGCACTGAGGTTAGACAAAGTGGTAGCTACAGAGATGTCACACATACTGTTCGAAAACATCTGGTAGGAAAAACAAGTGCCGACAGACCAGACAGACGGATGCTTCACCAAGGTAACAAAGAAAGGACATCTGAGCAGTTGAGGCAAATACAGAGTAATCACAAAACTATTGATCCAAGGAAAGGTTTTCACCAGGGTGTTGCTGAACCGGATGAAAGATTCAATAAGCATCCAGCCTCGAGATTAACGAGCTAGCTTTCGTGAGGATTGGCTATATGCCGACCAAATCACGTCATTACGGATCATCGTTGAAAAATCGATTGAATGGAACTTGTCACAAATTGTTCATTGAATAGTTCCGTAACACGTTTAGGATCTTCGTATACTTGCTTGTTTCGATTTAGTACGTTTAACTTTATTTTGAAGGAGTTTTATAAGTGTGGAGGAGTTATTATTAAAATCGATAGCACGTTTTTCCTGCGCGACAGATTTTGTTTATATATTGTCTCTGTCTGGCATTTATTTATGTGACCGTAACTAAAGAGGAAAAGTTACTGAAATTGTGGAATCGAGTACAACGTCTTTGAAGGATTCTTCGCGTAGAGACTGGTGTATGCAAATCTTTAGAAAACCCAGGTCTCCAGTATGCTAAAGGTGCGATTTTGTCCAAGATTTTTGGTGTTGTAATAAAATATAATAGTTAATGTGTCGGCATTCTTTAAAGTATGTGGGGTTCCCTATCCAGTGTTTCTTAGATGATTTTAGACGTTCTTCCAATCGACCTTGCGATATTTCCTATGAGGTGTTACAGTTTTACGTCTACCGGTCGCGGTTTTTATATTAATGCTACATATGATCGCTACTTGGAAACGTTTTTCTAATATGTAAAGTATTGGGTGTTAGGCCACTGGTAAAGATTAAGTTTGAGATATTTTAATGTCTGGTAGGTCTACTGACATACTGACTCCAATGTCCAAGCTCCAGACATTCAATAAATGAATCATAACGTTAAGGCTCCTTGGCTGGAAACCAAGAAATCTCAGGCATATTGAAGTCACAACAAATAAGCTTGTAGAATTATGGTCTATATGATATTAGTACTGCTCTTATAATAGACCTAGTCCAATAACTGTAAATTTGTCATGGTATAACCGCCTAATCTATAAGTTCTTGCGTGAAAGTCACATCATCGTCTACACGAACTCACCACATTTTAACAATTACCGCATTTCCCATCATTAGGTATTTCTCCGCGTTAAATATTGAATGTCTATTTTTCGAAAGGTCTCATGTTATGCTTTGTGGATTGTATGGTTATAGTCCAATGCCATTACAAGCTTACCTGTGAATGAAAGGTGTGATGACAGTGTGAATATATCTGACAATGTTTTTATCTCACCTATTGTTTGGAAGTCAGTTCGGTTATATTCATAGAAATTCAGAGAGTAGTTTGAAACTTTTAGACCCAACATATTCTCTTCCTTCACACCAAACTGGGACGAATCAAAGGACGTAGGATGCTAGTTTGAAAGCCAATAACGAATAAAATACTCATGTTATACATGTGTCCACACCGAGTTGTGAAGTATTGGAAAGCTTTATTTTAAGAAGTGGTGTCCACAACGTTAAATAACTGATTAAAAAGAAGGCTAGACCCTCACGAAAGCTTGGCAGACAAAGGCTAATACATGCTACCGGCTTTCAGTCCTCAGGACGTAAATTTGAAACTCGAACCTACCTCTGGAGTAAGGGAGGAAGTATAATGTTTCCATACTATGAGAGGAACCGAGTATTACTGGTGAAATATAAAATGAATAGTCCTACCGCTGAAATGGACGAAGATATTTAATAAAATTATTGCCAAACAATTTTTTGCAAAGGCATTTTTCACAGTTGATGTAAGGTTTGGGGACGTATGGATTCAAAATTCGTTGTTTTTCAGATTTCGGCGCTTCTAGAATTCTGTGTGATTCTCAAGCTTTCGAAGGGGAAATATTTTTGGCTTTGAAGTGTTGAAAATAACACAACTATTTTCACCCAGCTTCGACACTGAGTCATATCACCCGGGTTGTGAATTTTCTCCCAAAACTTGATAGTATTCGCTATGCTCCAGAACATTATGACTAAGGAAATTCATCTGGATAAATCAAAAACATTGGAAACCCTTGTGCTGATTTTCATTAGACTTGGCGGGAACTTTGTGTAATTTGAGAGAATAAGTTCATTTCCCTTAACTTGAATAGTCGGCTGTTGGCGCATAATCTAGACATGTCCACTGGTGTAACAAATGAATACCTGCCACTTTGGGCTCATGGATAAAGCTTGTGAGATCGACATTTTAAAAAGCCTGTAAAAAAATAGAGATGTATTGCATCTACCGTACTTTTACGACTAAAGAGTATGGTCTATGTATCTACTAAAACCGACAGATTAGTTTTGTGGCCCATGTATCTGACTCCCTTTTAGATTGTACAAATGATTGTATGGATGTTTGTTATCGCCTTTTCTCGTATATCATCGTCGACTTAAATCACGTTAGTCAATAACGGAATTTAGATAAGTCAATTAACGAGAATGGCCTTTGAATATATATATTTTGTATGTAAAGTGAATGTAATAGAACAGAGCAAAATGACACGCAGGGAAGATGGCTGGGAAGCCAACTCCATTTTAGTCAAGCGTTACTCAATATTTATAGTCAGACAAAATAAAGCTACAGACATGTGATTAGAAGGATAAGAAGGGCACACACATATACGCTCATATAAAAACAGTCTAGATTGATAAGCGAATAAATAACAAGGTCAATGTATGGTTCAAGTAAACTGAATAGAATGGGATGTCCGAAAGCTCGAATACGGTATATGGGCTTAGCATAATAACTGACACTACATTAGTTATCGAGAGCTCGCCCTTTTAAATAATTAAAGAACTTGATAATAAGTCAAATGTTTTCTTGTCTCGTGCATTTTTTGTGCATAATTTTATGTTTTTAACGACTATGGGTCTGACAGTATTTGTTTGTTTGTCTCGAGGTTGATTGAACATTTTGTAGGCACTTTCAACAGCTGTAATTTTGCGCTTGACTTGATCACGATTCTCATAAAGTTAGTAACGTTTAGACAGACAAGTTTAGTATGGATATTGTTGATTGATTGATCCGATTAGTGCATATAGTTAAGAGATTATGGTAAAACCATGATGTATAGACAACATCCGAGCAATACGAAATTGGCTTTGAGAAAATGCAACCAATTATAAGGTTTAAAATAAAGTTATAAGTGTGAAAACTTACGGTCTGAGTCGCTAAATCACGTCACATATAATGCCAAAACCCCATATAATCGTGCGGACTAATAAAGTTTGCATCAAAAAACAATGTAGTCTACATAAAATCATCTATCGTTGCAGGTGATAGCGAAAAGTCTCATGCACTCTGATAATGGCCTTTAATGTTACCCTGAAATAGCCCAAATTGACACTGAATAGACAGGATGAGGTAGTTTTTTGTGTATTGAAGTTACGTTTTTCTAAATGGTGGGGGCAGTGGTTCTATAAATTATTAACGATCTAATCAACCCGAGCTGCTAACTTTGGGAAAATCCCCAAAATGAAATAGCCTTCCCTAACATTTGGGGAAATTTCGGGGGTTGGGTCTCATTTCCCCAAATTTTACTATAGCGGCTTCCCCAAAATCGGCAGCTTGGGATATTTCGCAGTATGAACCTGAACTAAATAAAACACCATTTTTACTCCTATATTTACAGTCTCTACTGTAGGATATCAAAAAAGTAGCTTAACAACATTAAAATATGCAAAATCCCTCTCTTCCTTCTTGAACTCTAGGTGAGGATAAGACTGTAAAGTTACACTTGATAGTTCATGCTGTCACGTTTTGTTATCAGCTATACACTTATATATACTGTCATTTAAATTTTCCTTTTTTGCTTAGTTTAAACTTGACAAGCTAACCTAGTTGTTGCGCATCACCCTAGTGTGATATTTCTGCATGTAGTTTTCAAACTTCATTTGTTGTTTGTAAAAAAAAACTAACAGGAATCTTAGTATTTTATCAGCTTGTTTTTTGATGGAAACACTGGAACCTTTCGCGATAAGTAACTTCGTAGGGGATATAGTGCAGAAGATAAATCACTGTGGTAAGTATTGAAAGGTGTTCCCATTCTCATCTTTCAGGTTCTAAATTGAGCTTGAATATCTGACAATTTGTTGAAAAGTAAACTTGGAACAAAATAGCATGTCTGTTTGTTATTTGATGTATAGGCTTGTTGGGTTGGTATTTATATTTCCATTTACTTTACCAATCAGTAATCATTAACAAAAAAACAGCCATTCAGTTGTTACGAATATTCATCCACTTGACACTTGAGATTTCTCAGGTGTTTAGAATAGAGTCACGTCAGTCATCTACAACGTAAGACCAGGCACGTGTATGCATCGGTCCAAGCACAAGATGAACGCCAAATTCGTAAAAGTAGTTACATCGATGGTACTAATATATAGAAAAAAGATTGAAAGTAAGGATAGAGTACAGGAACAAATAACTATTTCGTAGAAAGAAAGATATGAAGTAATTTTAATCTCTTATTTTAAGGTGGCACAAAGAGTGTATACACCGACGCCATTGTGATCGGTTCTGAGCCATGTCACTCAGTTTCCAACCATTGGTTACGATAGTCACGTGGACTCCAACCACGTAGTCTGCATCTTACTCAATGTTTTAGATTGTCATTCATATTGAGAAGTCATTGTATTGTGAAAAGCTTCTAAATGATCTTTATTTATTAACTAGACCACTTCGTGTAATCCCTTGAATACATCCGAACATTTTCAAAGCTAAGGTATTATTGAGTAAACGGGCAATAATATTAACGTCTCATTAGTCAAGACAACACAAAGAAAGTCACATGAACTTGCGTCGTAATACTCTTGATTTTTACCCAACCATTCAAACGCATAGTTTTTGGTATAATGTATCACCAATTACATATATACAGTTACGATGCAGTTTCATTCACTATAGTTGCATATGTAATAATCTTGGTTTTTTGTTTGATAGTGCACAAATGACAGCTTATAATGTATTATATATAAAGAGCTATGAAAACAAGAAGTGCTCTCTCGATGTTCTGAACTGTGTCAATCATATTCAGAAATCATTAGATCGTGAGATGGCTCTTAAAGGTCCTAGTTATTTAGCTGGATTATTTCGTCTAACTCCTCAAATACAGTCAGGGGTTTTTGAAGCCAAACAACCAAAACCGAAAACATCTTACGAGTCAATACAACACAACGAAAGTCAAACGACCTTTTATCGTAGTATTCCGTCCATATCTGATGACCCGAATTCCCAAGAATCCTTACAAATAACTTCTCCTGAGGTGAGTTTAATCATGGGTTACAATGGTTAAAAAAATCAGGAGTTAATAGTGTACTTGATTGATACCTACCGGTGCAAACTAAAACTAACGCTAATAGATAAGGTGTAGTTTTGCGATAATTTGAGAAACTCAGATGCTAATAGTTGAATATGTTAATTAAAATTGGCGACAGATATTGTTAACAACAACAAAGTCACTCACCTTTTATCCTTCTCTGAACCCTTTCCGACTATGTATCGTCCGTAAACCTAATTCCGTTTGATTTTGTTTTGACCTGATGTTTTTATGCTTTTTAAAGCTATGACAACCCGAACAAATAAGGTGTAATCAACTTTCTTAGTCTGGTTTTGGCTGTTTAACCTAGAAATTAGCAAATTTATTCCTGCTAGTTTATTATAGTTGGTTTCATATTTGGTTTTAGTGTTGATACGGTGGAATTGCATAACAGACGTTGATCACTTTCGTTGAGGAAGTAACCGAACCTGATCGTAGGAAACTCAACATTATTCTGGCGTGTTGAAAAACTGTAGAAATAGTATATTTTCCATCCATACATGTCTCAGTTTATGGTGAAAATGAAGAAATATAAGCTTACTTTAAAACATCTAACTTTTATAACTTTGTAATATACCTATTTTCGTACCCTAAAATCCTTCATTACCTAACATTTCGACAATGGAAATTATCTCGTTTGACTGGATGTCCGTTGAATAATATAACTGCCGTACAGAATGTTGGATAATGGAAATGATCAGATTTAGTGTATTTTTTCTGTTTTATCGAAACTTCTAGAATTTTCTCCAGGTTCCCCATTCAGTATGTTGTGAAGTTAACACTTAAGGTAGATATGTATTTTGCATCAATTCCTTATGGATACGGTAAGGGTGTTTTTTGCTAATTACGTTCAATGTAACATTTTGAAGTCAGTATTTTCTTTTGTCAATCTAGTTTAAATGATAAATCACACTTATTATATAGATGAGTGTGATTTCTCGGAACGTCTGCGAGCGTTATAATAGTAATCTATACATTCTTTTCTGTGAACTGTGCGCTATACCTCAGAAACGTTTTTGCTTTCAATGCATAAGACGTATCAATAAGATAAATTTAAGTTATGAAAATATAAAGAGGAAATTTGTACGTACATTATTCAGGTTATGTCATCAAAATAATTGTTAACTAATTGGGCCGAAAGTTGGTCTAGGTTGGTAAAGCGCTTGAACACAAAGTTCCGGTTATTTTTATTTGAATAGCTATTATCTTAGACGTTTGAAGAACTCAGTCGGACGGATTTAGGCAGATAACTATTAAAACGACATGTTACTGTGAATCATTCCTTCGTGTCAGCTTTAATTACTACTTTTATTAAACAAGCCAGGATTGAGTTGTTAATAGTTTTAACTGTACAGGGAGACGCTCGAGGGAACGATAATGCAGATTTCTGGTTAAATAAAAACAGCAATTAATGACTGACTTTATACACAAGAATGTCCTCGTGAAACCTAAATACTGTGTTATTAGTATGATCACTGACTTGTGAAGTGTTTAATTACTCCTTCACTCACGTAATGGTAGTCATAATAATTCAATCAAACCTTTGAAAGTGTATCTTATATGATGAAATGTTATCTAAACAAATGTAATCTACCATATATTATTCAGACAATGAATATTCTAATATTACTAACTGGGCGATGAAATTCTATCTCTTATTTAGCTCTTTATTACAACTCCACAATTATATGTAAATTTAAAAATTTACTACATAATGCTAAGTATAGTGATTTATCAAAACTAGAATTATTGACTCACTTGGTATTGTTTTTTACTTGAATCTTCCCATCGATGTTTTAGGACTGAAATTGATCAGTCTCTTATTGGTATATATGCATACTGTGCGTATGCCTTAATATTGCCTTAAGTTACAAGCATTATCAGCAGAGATGGATAGTGACTAGCAGTGGAATCCAGGACACGGTACTGAGTTCGAGTCCCAGAGTGAACATCAACTCTGTGATGCATGTATATCCAGCTGACGAGTCCTAAACAGAACAAAACATGCGTCCTCGATTCCACTGCTATGCACTATCCATCTTTGCTTAGAATTATTGACTTTATATTATTAGCGCTAGACGATAATCGATTATAAGAATCAAGACGATCAGTGATGGATAAAATTACCATATAAAGTTGAGATTGTTTACCAATATTCATACGTTGAATTAAACAACTGTTAATTATCGTGATAAAGGACAATCAGGCGATCATTTGGCAATCTATACTAATTACATAAGAATAAAAAAATAATACCATTCGAATAACAAAAGCTATTTTTGCATGTCAAATATAATTTGAGAAGGGGTTTTTTGGATACTATAGTAATTTCAATGGTTGAGATCATGAGTCAATCGAAACTAAACCAACATGGAGAACTTGGAGGCACTAGACGACCGTTTCGTCCTATTATGGAATTCCTCAGCTTGTTCACTTTTAAAATTTTCAGTCTTCAAATATGAATTAGAAAAACTTTCTAAGACATAGTATGTCAAGTTTACTTAACTAAATTCCCATAAATTCCGAGAACAGTGGTGGGTAGCGAAAGCAAGAGAGATGGAAGAGGCAGCGGCAATAAGTAATAAGTATGTTGGCAGGTGTAGGCTACATGGTTGGGGACCGTGAGATGATATCAACCGATGGTTAGAGACCCTGAATGACATGGCTCAAAATCGTTTGCAATGGTGTACTCAAGTGCATCCATTCTATGTGTCCTCCCAAATTCTAATCTTCTGAATTCTTCATGTTCCTTATTTTCTCTCTTTCCAAATCTGTTTTACTGGATTATACTCATTGAATAACATCTTCAAACCCTAATGTTTCTGATTACTCCTTATACTCTTATTACCTCTACCACTACGGAATCTCTGTGTTGATGTGGTATGGCAACTCGAGCTGATGTACGTATTTACGAAGTTCTACTTTGTTACTGACTGACTGAAATTCCGTTTTGTGTAAAACATGAATTATCGAAAAATGATGGTAATTTGATTGAAATATTTTTGACAATTGTTTGTACATTAACATCATTTTGAATATCGTTTATTTGTCAAATTATTAGGCTTCTTGTACTGTTCTTCTGTCCTATGCCGAAATATGCGATGAATTTCTGAACTGTAATAATAGAATTAGCATTGAGTCGTTTTTAGATTGCAATTGTCCCAATTCTAACTCAGACATTATTATCAACATACCTTATGGTATTGTCCTAATTCAAATATCGAAACATTTAATGCAAACTAAGCAAAATATCATGAATCAAATTTCGCAGCTTTTATATACTACAGTCTTTTAACATTCTTTAAACAGTTAAACCTATTTATTTCATTTCACTTATGTGTTATATTGGCTCCTTAGTAGTTAAACTGTTTGTCTACCAATCAGTGGGGTTATCCTTTTTCAAACTTTCTTCATTAGGTGTCAGTCAGTCAGTAACAACGTAGAACTTCGTACGTACGTACATCAGTTCGAGTTGCCACACCACATTAGCACAGAGATGCAGTTCTATGGCAGTGTTTGTCACTGAAAGGAGTACCAAAGAAGTACATTAACCTTATAAAGGCTCTCTACTCGAACACAACTGGTAGAGTGAGAGCTTATGGCGAACTGTCATCAGAATTGATTACCTCAAGTGGTGTTCGTCAGGGCTGTCCACTCTCCCCATTCTTGTTCAACTTTGTGGTCGACGTACTTGTAGAGATAACACTCTCCTCATCTAAATTTCCAGGGGTTGAACTTCTACCGGGAGGTTCACTTGTTGACTTAGAATATGCAGATGACATAGTTTTATTTGGTGAAGACGCTGACAAAATGCAGAGTCTTCTGACCACTCTAAGCAACAATGCAAGCATGTTCGGGATGCGATTCTCTCCCTCGAAATGCAAAATGTTGCTTCAGGATTGGGTTACATCGACACCCGAACTAGTGATAGGGAGTGAAGTAGTTGAGTGTGTCGACCGCTTCACTTATCTTGGAAGTCTCATCAGCCCTTGTGGTTTGGTGTATGACGAAATCTCAGCACGGATACAGAAGGCTCGACTAGCTTTTGCCAACTTGCGTCATTTATGGCGTAGGCGAGATATCCGTCTATCAACCAAAGGACGTGTTTACTGCGCAGCAGTTCGTTCCATCCTACTTTATGGCAGTGAAACATAGCCGGTAAGAGTAGAGGATATCCGTAGGCTACTAGTATTTGATCATAGGTGTCTTCGAAACATTGCTCGTATATCATGGGACCATCGAGTAAGTAACACAGTTGTTAGGGAACGGGTACTGGGTAAGGATGGCAAATCAATTGATGAAGTAGTGAAACTTCATCAGTTGAGATGGCTGGGACACGTGTTACGTATGCCCAACGACCGACTGCCTCGACGTGCTATGTTCAGTGGTATAGGAGTAGGTTGGAAGAAATTACAGAATCATTTTGTGAAATCTAAAAACCGTACAGTAAATAGTTCATTTACAGAATGTCAATCAATCGTCTTAGACTTCATTGTTTTTTTCGTTTCCACACCAATCATTCTCTATTGTCGTTCTATTTTCATCGGTCTTCATAAACGTTTACCTCCAGGCAATCCATTTTTGATGGATGATACATACTACTTATATCTGTCGACATCGGTACCATAACCCACACAAGCAGTATGATATTCTCCTGATTGTTGAATTTTTCTTTTTTGAAAAAATTAGGTCAATGAAAAGATTCCATTATGTATTATTGCACCAATTGATAGAAATTTACTATGTGCTAAAACAATGAAATCTGAATATCATCATCAGCAAGCATCAACATCTCATTCTACATATGAGAATAGAGATTATACAAATAGTTGTCGTTCTTTATTATCAATATCTAGTAACAGAGAAATTAGCAATATTGCACCATCCGTTTTAAAGGTATGTGTATGGTGATTGTAATTTCTTGACGATTTTGTTTTGCCAAAGTTATGATTTCCATGATGTTATGTTTACCAGAGTAGAAGAATAAGAGTATAGTAGAACAGTGTGCAATACTTTTCATTATTTTAAGCTTGGCAGTTTTGAAGTATCGTTAGACTGTTCAGTAATTCATTCATAAACGACGTAGAACTTGGCATGTATGTGAGTCAGTTTAATCTGTCACACTGAGATCCTATAGTGTGAGGACGGTACACGGATTTTCGAGGAAGCTACACGTAAGGATCTTAGAATATTCTTCCAAAAGGTGATTGGATGGAATATCTTCGGCTCTTTCTGAGCTTGGAGTTAATAAATCTTCACTTATACTAGTCTTCCTGTACTTAATTTCGCGTCGTGGGAATTTGCAGAGGTCTCTCGTTTCGAGCACAAGTGATAAGAGTTTTCGACACAATAATCAGCGACAACCAGATATAACAAATAGCATTCAATTGACAAGACGTTTCACATAGTTGTAGAAGTAGTAACGGTTCCAAACGTTAGCAGACAAGATTAGGGATAGAAGATATAGTTGTCGAAGGTAGAACATCATATAGACAACAACTTGTAATCCAATTTGTATTAGAATGATGGATAGATTTGTAGAACATTAACTTCCTAGTCTAAATCCTCAAGTTTAATCAATATTTCATGCTAGTGTTCCCACTTTTTATAGACACGAAAACACAAGTTGTTAGTTGAATATCAAGAAGCGTTAGAACCAATAACTTCTATTGATATCCCATTGGAATATGAAGAGAAACTTATTTCTTTATTGAAATAATATTTTACATATAATAATAATATTGATACTAAATGGATAATATTTTGACAAACTCTTTATATTTATATACTACTTTCTTGGTAATCTGTACAGAACTGATGATTCTTCTTCTTATTATTATTATCATTTAGTGTTCATGTAAATATGATCTTAATTAAATTATTTGCATATTTTTTTCTAGTAAAGTATATTTATTTGTTTAAAAACATAAATATTGGTATAAAGAGGCACCGAATAGATAAGCGCCACACAACTCACTTGATTTATGTGTGACTTGTGGTACTGCTCGAATGCCCAGACTGAAGTAGGTGGGTTTCTTAGAGGGTCACACCCCGAGCCTTCAATCTAAAGGTCTGATACACAAGGCAGTGAAACAACGTCAGGAGATACAGTCCTATGGTGGCTGGTGACCAACAATTAATTCAAACACCATTAGTTCCCTAAGGATCTTGGAGCCCATGTACACCATTGGTTTGGAATCAAGGATTTCCAACTTCTCTAGGTGGACTCTCCGTGTCTATCAATCCAGCTAAAGAGTCAAGCACTCGGTTTTCGTCCTCTCAATTAGTAGACAAGAGTCATGTTGGGAGAAGGCAGTGAATAGGACTTCCCTGCGAATGGCTATATACGCGTGTCCATGTGAGAGCGTTTCGAAAGGGAGAGCTGACTCTTCCCACCCTCGACCGTACCAGGGCATTTGGGGGCTTTCTTGTAAGGAAGAGGATTTTTTAACGTTGTGTACTGATGCCATGTTTTGGTTTGGCCACCCCTTATTTTCATCCAACTGTCTCCAACACTAGTCAGAAATACGCGTCGTAGTAATCCGTGTTCGGGCATACACAACACGATGGCCCAACCATCTCAGTCGATGAAGATTCACAACCTCATCAACTGATTTACCATCATTCCCTAATACCCTGCGCTTAACCTCACTATTACTTACCCAGTGATCCCAGCAGTTGTGAGCAATATTTTTAAGGTATCTGTGGTCAAATACTAGTAGGTTACGAGTATCTTCTACTCTTAATAGCCACGTTTCGCAGCCGTAAATTAGGACAACGAATTGCCGCGCGGTATACTCGTCTCTTAATTGATAGTCGGATTTCTCGCCTTCGCCATAGGTGACGCAAGTTGGCAAAAGCCAAACGAGCTTTTCGAATCCGTGCTGAGATTTCGTCAGACACCAACCCATTAGGGCTGATCAGACTTCCAAGTTGTCGACGCGTTCGACTACTTCGCTCCCTATCCTTAGTTCAGGTGTTGACGCAGGCCAGTCCTGAAGCAACAACTTGCATTTAGAGGACGAGAAACCTATCCAAAAAATCCTAGCATTGTTGCTCAGTGCTACCAAAAGACTGAATTTTATCAGCATCGTCACCAAACAAGTCTATGTCATATGCGTATTCTAAGTCGATAACCTGACCTCCTGATAGAAGAGCAATTACTTAATATTCAGATAACGATAACGTTATTTCCAGCAGTAGGTCTATGATCAAGTTAAACAAAAGTGGGGAAAGTGGACAGCTTTGACGGACACCACTTGAGGTTGCAAAATCAGATGACAGTTCGCCAACAGAAAACGGAAATGTTAACATTTGCCTCGAGCACATTGCTTATATGTTGCTAAAACTACATGAATATGTTAAATCGCCGACTGAACTACTCGTAGACATCCAAAAGATATTCCTTGAGAAGATATAATTATTCAAAATTCCTATTGAATGGATACATGGTAAATTTCCGTAAGTTTCATCAATTCCGTTAATCCATAAGTCAAAAATCTATACAGGGGCTAGAAAACAAAAATGTGATTATTCTACTAATGATTCGTTTACAAAAAATGGCTATCGTTCATGTTCCAAAGTTATGTAAATATGCCAACTATCCACTGCATGTGTATTTTCTATGAATATACAGTCCCTATGTAAAATCTTCTTGGTTAGTTCATGGTGTTAAGGCATGGCACTTGTTGATATCAATATTATTCCCCAGTTGAATTCCGACAGACGGAGAAAAATCTACCATGATTTTTACTGGTAACTTAACTGAATCTTTGAATAAGTAATATTCTTGTTTAACTCATTACAGATTTCAAGACGTTTTCATCAATTCTCTTCACAATACCATCACATCATTTGTGTGGTTAATTTATTTGAAACCTTGAATTTTATATGCTTCAAATACATAAATCGTACAATCGCACCATAACCAAGTGAAACTTTCCGTAACACTCAGCACTTAGAACGATTATGTTCATATCTGAATATGCTGACTAGTGGAGCTAATCCGTGTCGGGTAGAAACAGGTGTCTAACTAAGTAGATGGTTGCGCAATATCGTGGACTGGTTGAGGTTAGACATTAACACCATTGGATGCCGGCTCAGTGGTCCAGTAGGTTAAGCGTTCGCGCGCGAGACTGAAGGCCCTGGGTTCGGATCCTACGAGCAGGATCGTGGATGTGCACTGCCGAGGAGTCTCACAATAGGACGAAACAGCCTTTCAGTGCTTCCAGGTTTTCAATGGCGGTCTAACATCAATCAGTTCATAATCTCAATCAAGAATAAATTATTATCTGAATGAATATTGACAGCAACCTCATTGTCATGGAAATGTTAATTCTATTCAAAATATACAAAAAAACCAATAGTCATTTACAACTGGAGAAATATAAGGAGCAGAAATATAACTGGTTGGTGTTCATTAGAAAAATATCATTATTTGGCATAAACAGCTGGAAATATTAAATCTTCATTTTCATTGGATAGATCATTTAATTGTTGATTAGTATCCAACTTCACCATTACTACCATGTACCTTGAGTTACGTGTATTTAAAGTCTATATGATATTTAAAAGAATAAGAACAATGTGAAAAAGTAACAATATTAGGAGCCACTACACAGTTATGCTTAAATTACTGAGTGAGTAATATTAAGTTCAGAAATCAACTTTAATATATTTGGAGTTGGGGGGTTCCAAAATTTCCTTCGGAAAAGTTCATCGGAGCTCATAAAACGTTTAAAGACAGCTTATCCCATCAGCATTGAGTAGAATCTTCTTAGAAACATCTAAAAGGCTAAGAGCCAAGTGTAATATTTTTGACTGGATATTTATCCATACAGTTACTTTACTTAGTATGGTTCCACAAAGTCCTAAAAGCTCAAGGTTATTTGCAGCTATGAATAGCCTCACTTTTATGTACGGAAACTAATCTTTAAGTAAAACGTTCTTTTAGCGCTTCTTGCTTTTTCTCTTGTATTCGATCCGTCATGTAGATGTAGCTTAAGCTTATTAAAAGCGTCTAGCAAATTGGAAGGAGCGTCTATCTAACAAACTTAACATCTAAAGGTATAACAACCGAGGATATATAATACAAGTAAAAATTTACGAGCGTTTTATGAATTACAATCAAGGTAAATAAATCTCTATCTCATTGAGTATGTCAAAAATATGAATAGATGTATCAAATAAAGCGAAGAGCATTTTCGTTTGTGTGAATATACTTTGTCTGCAATACACATTCCCGATGTACAAAACTTGGTTAGTAGCAAGAAGATGAAGGCAATATTGTTTACTGTTTGCAAACATTTTAATACATATGAATCCAATTCGAGGGACGTTAGGTCATAGTACAAACGATTTAATAGTACTATAAATGAAGTGGGAAGCTTAGTTTTATTAGTAAATTTCCTCTGTACTATTTAAAATTTTGTTAATTGAATTCGGCTATTTATTTACTCCGAAGAAGCGGCTCATGAGTAAGTCACGAAACTTTACAAATACAACTCTTGATTCGTTGGGATATAAAAAAAACTTAGTTTTTGACTGAAATCATGAGTCAATTGAAGCTAGACCACCATGGAAAACATGGAAGCACTGGACGGCCGTCTCGTCCTAGTATGGGACATCTCAGCAATGCGCATCCACGATCCTGTACCCCGCGAGATTCGAACCCAGGGCCTGTCATTTCAGTGCTTCCATGGTTGTCTAGCTTCAATTGACTCATAATTTCAATGAAAAACATAACAATCTCCACAACACCTAAACTGATAGTTGTTAACTCGGTGAATATGAACACAATTTGCTAGCAGTTGTTAAATACTATGGAAATTACATTACTACTGTAGAATAGATTGAGGTCTTGGAAAGTTTGAAATCGCGAATTAAACACCATGAAATATTTAAATGCAGAAGCGACTAACTAAAACTTGAAAATCTCAGTTTCGGAAGTAGTAATTCATACAGCATAGAAGAAAAATATTGAAAGTTCAAATATATAAGGTAGAATAACTTATTGTTAATCTGATTAAAACAGTTGAATTCGTGAGCCGATCTAAGCAAGATAACCATTAAAAACCTGGAAGAATTGGACGGCACGCTATACCAAAGGTCCCGTGTGTGTGATCGAGGATGCGCAAAGCCGAATTGTCCCATACTGTGGCGAAATGGCCGTCCAGTGCTTCCTGGTTTTCAATGATGATTAAGCTCAGATGGACTCATGAATTTAACTGTTAAATTTACTACAATCTTCACAAATCCCCATTCCGATAATAGTCTGATTATAATCAGTATGCAAAATATGTATCCCTTATAAGCATACAATTAATAAGAGAATTTTTTCACAACAAATAATTTACTAACCTGTTCACAAGCTGCAAGTAAACGAAAACTAGGATGATGAGGTAAAGATTTTACACCAATAAATTCTGATCGTAATACTGGTATCCAAAATACTAAACGTCCATTGGGATATAAAAGATAAGCTGCTAAATCCAATAAATCTTTGTATATTTTATTAACTGGATATACTTCCTGAATAAATAGAAAAAACAGAGCAACAAAACTACCCAATTGTATTAGGCATGTATACATACCAGAGACGTTCTACTCACAGTGTTGATGTTGTTTATGAAATTTAGAGGACAAAAAGCAAATGTCCAGCGATTTAACCAGGTTGGTGGGTATGGAGGGTCCATTTAGGGCAGTTGGAGAGCCCTAATT